TCTTGTTCAAACTTCAGCAGTGTGTTCGCTGTAAGAGGACGATCACATGGATGTGACTATTGTGAGTCAAAGTTATAGCGCCACCAACTGGCAGCAGGAAGTGTGTCACTTTCAAAATGCTTTGAAATCACCCTTTTATTTTTACCCGATTTGCTTCAAACTTCATCTGTATAATGTAAATATACGGCAGATGTAGACCTGTGAATGGATTCTTGATATCTTTGAAACTGTTGCCGTGGCAACGCATCAAACTTTACCATTCTTTTAGGATGCTTTTGAGACCCTTAGCATGCTTCAAATCGCATGAAACTCGACAGACACATCACATTTATTAGCCAGTAGACATGTGCAAAGTTTCAGAAACGGGCGTGGTGAGGGCTCAGTAGCACCACCTTTTGACAAAAGTGGGGTTGTTAGTTTTAACTAGAGTTACAAAAATCGGTATGTATATTGTACTCCTCGAGCCGGACAACTTTCTAATTGACACTCATTAGCTAGGACCCACAGAAAGTCAGATATCTTTGTTTGAATGTAGAGAAAATCTTAGAATTTTGCCAGTCTCTCAGTGTCTTTCTGTGTGAGTGAGAGGAGGGGCGCCTGTCAGGTTAATTTTAACCCTTTATTTGCTGTGTGCGACTTCTCTGGCATTTTCGGGGGCCTTAACATCCTCTAAAACTCTTGAAACTTTGCACACGGGTCAGAACCCATGGCCATCAGGGCCGGGCTGAAGCTGGTCATCGGGCGTGGCAGGGCGGCTCGACAGCGCCCCCTGGACTGGGATTCGAACATTTATCCATAAATCAAACACACTTGCGTGAATTAATATGAAACTCGGTACAATTATAGATCACATCAGGCCAAACAACTTTCGTGCTCTAAGTTTTACGACAATTAAAATGGAAGTTGAGAATTATGGGTTGTTTGAATAGTTGTCCTAGGAGAAATACATCAAATTACAACGCATGTGTTTACCAATCACAACCAAACTCGGTGTGCAAGAAGTCAAGACATTGAGGATGAAAGTTTGAGAGGGGATTTTTGATATCTCAAACGGTTTGGCCGTGGCGAGGAAACGAAATTATGGCGAGAAACGTGAAACAGGAAGTGTGTTATAACTTCAGCATACATTAACATATCTTGATGAAACTTCATCAGTGTGTTCGCTGTAAGAGGACGATCACATGGATGTGACTATTTCGAGTCAAAGTTATAGCGCCACCAACTGGCAGCAGGAAGTGTGTCACTTTCAAAATGCTTTGAAATCAACCTCTTATTTTTACCCGATTTGCTTCAAACTTCATCTGTATAATGTAAATACATGGCAGATGAAGACCTGTGAATGGATTCTTGATATCTTTGATACTGTTGCCGTGGCAACGCATCAAACTTTAAAATTCTTTTTTTTTTTGGATGATTTTGAGACTCTTAATGGCTTTTGAGGCCCTTATCGGGTTTGAAAACTCTTGAAACTTTGCACACAGGTCATATCCCACAGCCATCAGGCCCGGGCTGAAGATGGTACCTAGGCGTGGCAGGGGGGCTAGACAGCGCCCCCTGGAACGGGGTCCGAAAACTTGGTCCATAAATCAAACACGCTTGCATGTAATAATATGAATGAAAAACTTCATCTGTATAATGTAAACAGATGAAAAACTTCATCTGTATAATGATGAAAAACAGATGAAAAACTTCATCTGTATAATGTAAACATACGGTAGATGTAGACCTGGAATGGATTCTTGATATCTTTTAAACTGTTGCCGTGGCAAAGCTTCAAACTTTGAAATTATTTTAGGATGCTTTTGAGACTCTTAGCATGCTTGAAATTGCATGAAACTCAACAGACACATCACATTTATTAGCCAGTAGACATGTGCAAAGTTTCAGAAACGGCATGGTGCAGGGACTAAATAGCGCCACCTTTTGACAAAGTGGGGTTGTTATTTTTATCTACAGTTACAAAAATCGTTATATACATTGTACTCCTCAAGCCAGACAACTTTCTAATTCATAGTCATTAGCTCAGACCAAGAGGAAGTCAGATATTTTGGATTGAATATGGTGAGACTCTCTCTGAGCCTACGTCCGTGTATGGCAAGCCCTTTTAACATTTAAAAGCTAAGTTTGCCTATCCGGAAATTAACATTGTAGATATCAACAATGTCTTTCTGTCTAGTCGTAATTACATTTTGGACAGTTTGTATTATCATTTAAGATATCTGTAAACATAATTGTGACTAGTCAAAATGACAGACTATGGCAAGCCGTCTGTAACATTTAATCATGAAAGGCCAAAGCCTTCGGCACCGCCACCCCGGTGCCTTTAGGTAACTAAAGGAGCCAGGGGTTGCGTTGCCACCGGCTTGGGCCCGCCATCGCTGCTCGCACTATATTATATTA